GCAGCAGCCGCAGCCGCAGCCGCAGCCGCAGCCGCAGCCGCAGCCGCAGGCCGCGGCCGGCGACGGGGAGAAGGCGAAGGAGGGGCAGGCGCAGCCGCGGCGGCGGCTGCACAGCTGGCTGCTCGTCCTGCCCGGGGGCCGCAAGAGCCAGCGGGAGGCCGTCTTTGTGGAGCCCTCCACCGGGGAGCTGATCCCGCGCGGCGCGGCGGCGGACGGCTTCTACACGGGCATCGAGGCCGTCTTCAACAGGCGCAACTACCTGGTGAACCTCGCCCCCAACGCCCCGGTGAGCGCCCTCACGCTCGACCTCGAGGACGGCACGCAGTGGGAGGGGATGCTGTTCGACCTCGACCCGGAGGAGGAGCGGGAGTCGACGCTGCACGCCACCGCCACCGGCGTCGGCGCCGAGCGCTTCAACTACACCTCCACGGCGGGTGTGCGGTGGCGGGCGCACGGCGGGGAGCTGAGCATCTCAAACTTAGCCGTTACGACGATGCCGCCCGGGGCCTCCACCACCGCCGGCGCCGGCGCCGGCGCCACGGATGCCCGCCCGCCGCTGCTGGCCGCCACGGTGGGCGTGCTGAGCCACACGCAGCGGGAGAAGGGGCCGCTGCAAGGCTTCAGCTCGTGGGTGCAGGACCTGACGCTCAGCCGGGAGCAGTACGAGCGGCGCTACCCGGGCGGCATGAAGTTCGTCCGCTACGCCAACGCGGAGGTGTGGTGGTTCGCCCCGTACGCGATGCCGGACCTCCGCGTGACGGAGGTGCGGCTCCCCGACACCACGCACCGGCACCAAAAGCAGGTGCACACGCTCTTCAGGCACCGCTCCGACAGGCTCCGCCGCCGCTCCATCTACCCCCGCAAGGAAGGCGACTCCGTAGAGGCGCTCGGGCCAGACAGCGACGTGAGGGCGGCGGGGGAGGCCTACGCTAGAAACCTGAACCCGCGCGCCGGCGAGCCGGAGCCGTTTCGGTTGCTGAAGGAGTGGTACGACCGCGGCAGAATGCGGGACGCCGCGGTGGAGGGGCTGCGCCTCTTCACCCACGAGCCCGGCGTGGAGCGCACCATGACCTTCTATTGGGACGCGCGCGACGACGGCCTCTGGCGCCGGCAGGAGCTCTTCTACGAGGGCTGCATGCTGCGCAAGGTGAAGGAGTTCTACCGCGAACGCGACGACAGGCTGTGGTACCGCAGTGCCTCCTTCGAGCGCAGCAGCGGCGTGCTGCGGGTCTCGCGGAACCGCAGCAGCATCTTTGGCGAGCGCTCCGCCGACGAGGCGCAGCGAGTGGAGCCGCTGCGGGTGAGTGAGAAGTACCACCGCAACGAGGCGCTGCCGCCGGACGAGGACGTGGCGAAGTACACCTTCGTCCGCTTCGCCAACGGCAGCGGGGGGGAGATGTGGGTGTACTTCCACTACCGCCCCGGAAGCGTGATTCGCCCCTACCGCATGTACACAAAGGCGGCGCGCGGGGAAGAGTACCTGGCGTCGACCATCGCCGGCAACGCCCCGGCGGCGCTGCCGTGCACCATCGTGCTCATGCCGAACGCCGAGGAGCCGTCGGAGCTGGAGCAGTACAACGAGCGCAAGCGCCTCGCCTGGTGGGAGAGCGTCTGCCTCGGCAAGGTCCGGGGGACGATGACGGAGTGCAGCGGCATCCTCGCCTCCATGCGGGAGGCGCGCGGGCAGGCGGCGCGGGGGGTCCTCTCCGTCTTCGACACGCTCCGCAACCGGCCGCACGAGACGGAGGAGGACCGCGCCCGCAAGCTCGCGGAGGAAGCCTCCCGCGAGGCCTCCCGCAAGGACTACCTGGCGCCGTACATCGCGAAGCTGGAGCTGCCCGGCAGCTTCGACGGAGACTACATGCACGTCACCCTCACCCTCGAGCAGGCGCGGCAGGTGCGGGACGAGGCGCTGCGGGAGCTGAAGGAGCGCCTCATCCAGCGCGGCCACATCATGCAGTCGCAGATGGACGCGGAGAAGAAGGACTTCAACGAGCGGCAGGCCGCGTACCAGAACCAGCTGGACGCCGCCGGCCTCGACGCCGGCCGCGATGAGGAGGAGTTTGCCAAGTACTGCAAGGAGGCCACATGGCGCATGAAGACGCTCGACGAGCGGCTCTCCAAACACATTGACCAGTCCAGCGAGAAGTACGCCAAACTTGCGCAGCGTCTCGCAGAGGATCCGCGGCTGGCGGCGCTGTATAAAGGGCAGCAGCAGCCCCCGCCGCCGCCGCCGCCGCCGCCGCCGCCGTCGTAGACAAATCCGGGCGGAGGGCCCCGAAGGCACGTCCGCGTGTTTGTCTGTGTGTTTGTTGCATGTGTGAAGGAGAACAGCAGGCGGCACGGCGAAGGGCCAGGGGCGCGCGACACACAGCGCGGTCGGTCGGATGTGTAGATGTAAAGCGAAACACGGATGTGAATCCGCTGGGTGCTGCTTGGCCCCAGGCGGGGGGGGGGGGAGGGCCGAGAGGAGACGGAGAGGAGGTGAAAAGAAACCGCACGGCGCAACACAACGCCCACGTGCCGCTGGCGGTGGCTGGACGGCGGATGCATCTGCGATGGTTTCTGTCCTTCCTCCCATCCCGTCCCTTCCTCCTTTTGCTTCTTTCTTCGTTTTCACTTTTACTTGATTTTTATTTTTATTTTTATTTATTTTTTATTTTGTATTTTTTGCAGCCGCGGCGGAAGGAACGCAGAGAGCCGGAGGGACGAGGCGTAGAGGGCGAGGACGCGCAGCACACACGCACACACGCACACACACACACACAAGGCGCCGAGAGGAGGAGGAGGGAACCTGAGGACGAGAAGAAGGGGACAGCATGCTTTTCTTTGCATGGTTTGCCTGCAATTCGTCGCTGGCGGCGTTCTGCGTGGAAGAGCTGCGCGCCGCCGCGGCGACGGTGGGGGTGGATCTCCGCGTGCTGGAGCCTTTGCCGTGGGCCTGCGCGGCGGAGGCGGCGGCGGTGCCGGGGGCGGCGTTCTGCGTTTTTGAGGCGGCCTCCGCCGCGGTGGCGCAGCAGCTCGCTGGGCGGTGCGTGCTGCTGCGCGCCGTGTACCGCCTCATCGCCGCCGCGGCCTCCGTGGAGGAGCTGCTGGCCTGCGTCGGCGGCGTAGGCGACGGCGAGGGGCGGTGGCTGCGCGGGCTGCCGTGGCCGGAGGAGACGCTGCGCCGCGCCGAGTGCGCCGTGCGGGTGGAGACAATCGGGCGGCACTACACGCTGGAGGAAAAGTTGGCGCTGGCGACGCGCGTTGGCGCGGAGCTGCGGCTTCCGCGTGAGGCGTCCGCCCCGGAGGGGGCGCAGCCGCAACAGCAGCAGCAGCCGCCGCCACCGGCCACCCCGCCGCCTCGCATTGTCGTCGTGGTGGAGCACGCGCTGGAGAACGCGCCCGCCGGGGCGCCGGCGTCGTGGCAGCCGTGCGGTCGTGTGCTGCGCGTCTTCTGCGGCGCGCCGGTGGCGGAGTCCGCGCGGCAGCGGCTGCTCGCGACGTACGACCTCAGGCGGCGGCCGTACATTGGCACCACGTCGATGCCGCCGGAGCCGGCCTTCGTGGCGGTGCACCTGGCGAAGGTGCGGCGCGGGGCCTACGTGCTTGACCCGTTCTGCGGCACCGGCAGCATCCTCGTGGCGGCGGCCCACTACGGGGCCGTCACCCTCGGCGCCGACGCCGACGGGCGGGTGATGCGGGGCGGCTCCCTGCGCTGCGGGGTGAGCCGGCAGCAGCGGCAGCAGCGGGAGGCCGCGCTGCGGTCGCACTCGCAGGAGGCGCTGGCGCGGGCCGGCATCACCGCGGCGGAGGCGGCGGCGCCGTCGATGTGGACGAACTTCAAACTCTACGGGCTGCCGACGCCGGACCGCGTGCGGCTGAACTTCGCCACCTGCCACGCCGCGCTGCGCCCCTGCCACGCCGGCGGCGAGCCGCGCGCCGACCGCGGGTTTCTGGACGCCATCGTGACGGACCCCCCGTACGGCATCCGTGAGCCGCGGAAGACGGCTGCGGCTGCGGCGGCGGCGGCGGCGGCGGCGACAGCGACAGCGACAGCGACAGCGACGTACCCCGTCAGCAGCATCGCGCTGGACCTCCTCCTCTTCGCCGCCGCCGCCCTCGTGGTGGGGGGTCGCCTCGTGTTTTGGTACCCCACCACCCCGCACTACACCGACGAGGAGCTGCCGACGCACCCGTCGCTGCGCCTTGTCTGCGACGTCCCGCAGCGGGTCTCGCTGAAGGTCGTGCGCCGCCTCGTCGTGCTGGAGAAGACGCGGCCGCTGCCGTTTCCGCCGCCCACGCGGGAGGCGTGCGCCGCGGTGCGGCAGCCGCAGGACCTCCGCGCCCTGCTGGACGCCACCGACCTCCCCGACAACGCGGAGTACATGCACTACCGTGCCAAGCTGCTGCGGAAGCGGGACGCCACGCGGCGGTACTTTTCCTCCGCCACCCCGTCGCCCCTCTGCACGCCCGGCGAGGGGAAGGGACGACCGCGGAAGCTGACAAGGGCGGAGCGCCGCGAACTCATCGTGGCAAACCGGGAACGGAACCTGCAGCAGCAGCAGCAGCAGCAGGGGCAGCGGTTGGCAGCGCGGGAGGACGATGATAACTGCGGCGGCGAGACGGCGCAGGGAATGAGTTCGAGTAAATGACGCGGAGGGGATGATGACGCAGGCGGCACCCCTTTGCAGAGGCGAATATCTTATATATATACATATCCCACTTTGGCTGCTTTCCCCCTTGTGCGCTTTGCGGCTTCTTGCGCCTGCGCCCCCCACTCACTCACCCACTCACTCACTCACATCTGGAGACTGGGGGGGTGGCTTGGGATGTATTTTTCCCTCTCAGCGTAGGCGCTCTTCTTCTTTTTTTTTCGTCTTTTTTCATCCTTCTCCGGTAGAGTGTGGCAGGTGCGCCTCGTAGCAGCATTTTTTTTTTTCGGATCTTTACTGCCCGCGTATACTCGTCCCCCTCCCGCTGCTGCGGAGATGAGCGGCGTGCATGACGACGGTGGCGGGCCGCAGGCGGCGGCGGCGGTGGCGGTGGCGGAGCCGCAGAATACCACCGCACAAGTCGTGACAGCTGCGTGGCGCCAGACGACGCCTTACGGCGACGACGACAACGTCTGCGGCGTGTGCTTGGAGGAGCCGGCGGAGGGCTGCTTCGTGGAGCTGTGGTGCTGCGGCAACATCCTCTGCGTCGCGGACGCGCAGCTGCTGGGGACCTGCCCCTTCTGCCGCAACGAACCCCTCGTCTGGAGCATCACAAAGTAACTTCCCCCGAGACGCGGACGTGAGTGTGTGTGAGTGTGTATGTGTCCCACTTCCTCCCACTTTTTCTTCTTTCTTTCTTTCTCTCTGTGTTTTTTTTGTCTGTGTGCATGCGTGTCCAGCTGCACATGCGCACGTCCCCCCCCCTCCCCGATCCTCCACCGATGGCGTGTGCGTGCTGGCATACTACGCCCATGTGGCTGTGTGCGCTTTCTGTGGCTTGCTCGCGTGTGCCTGCTGCTGCTGCTGCGGCGGCGGCGGCCGCTGGGCATCCCCCCTCGGCGTGCGTGGAACGTTTGCCTGTCGGCTCGCTCTCTCCTCTGCAAGTTCGCCTAGCAACGCAAGGAAAGCAAAGTAAAACCAGCCACCCAACCAAGCAGCCAAACAACTAAGCGGAGCAGAGCAGAGGGCAAACCAATCCAATGTTGCCGTCCTTCACGCGGAAGCCGGTGGATCACCCGCTCGGGTTTCTCGTGGCGATCTCCGGCCTACTCATGCAACTCATGTCGTACGGCATCGACAACAGCTACTCCATCTTCTCCGAGGACATGCACAAGGACCCCTCGCTCGGCTACCCCTCCATCACCACCATCAGCCTCGGCAACTCCGTCTCGCTCGGCCTCTCGCCGCTCTTCGGGGTGCTCTGCGGGTTTCTGGTGGACCGCGTGCCGCCGCGCCTCATGATGGCCGTCTCCACCGGGATGCTCTTCTTTGGGCTCTGGATGAGCTCCAGCTTCGCCAGCAACGTCACCGCGGTGACCTTCGCCTACTGCCTGCTGGCGTCCATCTCCTCCGCCTGCATGCTCTCGCCGGGCGCCGCCGCCACCAGCTCGTGGTTCAGGCGCTACCAGGGGCTCGCGATGGGCATCAACTTCGCCGGCGGCGGCGTCGGCAGTGCCATCATCCCCTCCTTCGCCGGCAAGTGGGTCGTGATGTACGGCTGGCGCAAGACGTTCCGCCTTATGTCGGCCTTCTGCGCCATCGGCGTCGTGGCGACGCTGCTCTCTGCCCGCCGCGACTCCAGCGGTGACGTCGCGGAGGCGGAGGCGGAGGCGGAGGCGGAGGCGGCGGCGGCCCACGACGACAACGAGCCGCAGCACGCGGAGGAGGAGCAGCGGCAGCAGTCGCAAGAGGGAGAGGCGGCGGTGCACAACCCCCCCGTGGGCGACAACCCCGGCGACATCGAGGCGGCCTCCGCGCGCCGCAGCCTGCACACACACAAGCTGACGCCGTGGGAGCTCTTTCTCAGCGTCTTCTCGCGGGCCTTCATGGGCAACTTCTTTTGCTGGCTCATCTTCAGCTGGGCCTTCTACTCGCTGATCTACGTGGCCGTGCCGTACGTGTCGTCGATGGGCAAGGTCGGCACCGTCTACGCGACGGAGAAGCCGATCCCCACCGACGTTGCCTCCACCCTCTTCACCTTCTACGGCGTGTTTCAAATCGTCGGCTCCGTCCTCGTCGGCTGGCTTGCGACCAGCACGACGAACGAGTTTGCCTACGTCACGTGCGCCACCGTGGGGGGCGTGTTCTGCGGTTTTCTGGCCTTCTGCCGCAGCTACGTCGCCT